ATATATAACAGCATTAAAAAAATTCATTAATTTAATTTGAAAAAAAAATGCATTGAAGAGTTGATTTTATTTTCCATCAAATACTAGTTTACTATCATCTTTTAAACTTTTAATCTCTTGTAATTAAATAAATAAAAAGGCTTGTATATAACATTTCATGTTAAGAGATTAAATTAACTAATCCTATTAAATTAATGATTCAGTTCTATTTAATTAGAGTCAATAGAAGTTTTTTTATTAGTCCCATTACATACATCGTTTATTGATTTCTGAAAAGTCAGACAGATAAATATAACTTCTTTTTTGATAAACGGAGACCATTTGGGCATCTCTAATGAAACAGTCAAGATTGGAGGTTGGATAAGGAATCATAAATTACAGCCCTGTCTAAAATAAATAGGCATTTGCTTTAATCTCTGACGTACTTGTAATTTTTTACTCCACTTTTGTTTCCAATGATTTCAATTCACAGTAATTAAACCTAAAAGAGCAAACTACCAATTCAAACAGAAAAGACGACATTAACTAGAATATCCCGAGGGCATATTTCTAGTCACGTTTTTCTTCTGATTTAGTTTCTGTAGTCGTGATATACTTCCCTTTAAAAAATCTTTTCTTTTATTTTTTTTTCCGAACAGGAAGCGTTTCAAACAGGAAATGGAAAAATAAAGTGACAAACGTACAGTAATTACAAATAGATTCTAATTATAAAATATTTTTTTCTCAAAGTATTTAATTATTTTGGGAAATAGAATCGAAGCTAATGTCAATTTCTCTCAAAATAACGACACAAAAGTTGACAGGACCTATGTGATTTGACCTGATTGTAACTGTGCTAAAAGAGTATAAGATTTAGTTTTGTTATAAAGAGAAATTCACACGGTAGTACAGTTTTAATTTCTCTGTGGAAAAGATAATAAGAAAAATGTTTAGGGTACCATGGCTGAAATTCTGAGCACAAAATATTCTTACTTCAATAAACTACGGTAAAAACAAGTTTTTTAAAAAAATTTTTAAGTCAAATCCTACTTAGATCAACTAAAAAAAAATTTATTTTAGCATTTTTTTATTAAATAGTTACAATTAATATAAATATGTATACACATAGGACAGAATCACAGCATTAACTGGCAAATAATTTTTTATTAATTATCATTAAAGTATCGTATTGTCATTCAAAACAATCGTGTCTATAAAATTTCAGTTCAACTGAATGCTTTAAAACGTGCGAAAAAAAAACCT